AAATTTGAAATCTTTCTGGATTAATCTCGACCTGTGTCAAAAAGTAACCAAAGTAATACGTATCCCTCTATTCTGAGGGCCCTCGCTCTCGAAGTATTAAAATTTTTTTACCCTGAATCAGAGTGGCTTCGGAGCTTTACTCATAGATTCCTCCTGTCGGATGGCCCTAATCAGGTTCCGGAGTTTTCTCTGAAATTTTCTCTTTCTACATCCCTGTAGGCCGAGGTTCTGCGTCCGACAGTGAAATTGTCTCGATTCGCACAGCTCTATACCAGCTGCCATGCTGCTTGGAAAAATTCAAAAGAACTGTTATCCTCAGTGATTACCGAGCTGCTTTGTTGGCTATCGTTTCAAATAAATTCTCATATCACAGGATATATTGGATTGTCGATATTATCTAAAAAAACCTGGCATCACTTGAGAAAACTATAGCCCTCCAGTGGGTTCCTGCTCGCTGTGGGTAATGAGAAAAAGCACCTTTTTTTGCCAGGAAGTTGGCTTCCTGGCAAAAGGGTGCTTTAATCATGCAGAATATTTCTCGTCCTATGCCTTTCTATACTGTTAGGGATCTTATTAAAAGATATTTCAAAGTACGTGCTCATGAAGATCTTTATCATCGTGTTTCTCATAAGTCTTGGAAGAGTGCTATCCCCAATTTGTGTAATGGCTCAAGGCGTAGAACGGCCGCTGAATTCCGCCTTGCATCGTACATTGACTGCCTACGATATCATCTCCCTATATTCAAAATTGTTCCTTCTCCGATATGCACTCTATGCAGTTCTGAGGAGGTGATGGATACCGCACATCTTCTCCGCTGTCCTGCTCTGCGCAAGACTTTTCTCGCCGGGCGTTATTAGGAGGAAAGAGACATGCTAGATTAATGGACTCTGTTAGAGCTTTTTGTGTTGCTGTATTCTTTTTTTTTTTTTTTTTTTTTTTGTTCTTGTAACTGTTTAAAATCTGCCATTGGAAATAAAAAAAATTACAAACACAGTGAAGTATTATATAAAGTTTTGTTCAAGAGTTTGCTTAAAGTACCTAAATCCATTGACTAATAATAATACTGATTAATGATAGCTTTATGCATAAAAGTTGTTAAAAATTTAAAAAAGAACCGAAATTTTGGTTATTTGAATATTTGAATTTATTATAAAAATATTCTGCAGAATATTCTAAATGAATTTTGCTTTTCTGGGAAGAAATTTATTAGTGCTCCTTGATATTCACAATCCTCAGAAAGAGAAATTATTAAAATTGTTATATGAGGTATTTCTCCCGCATTCCTGGCGTGCCTTTGGGGTGTAGTGGTTCTGCACGCTGTGCCGGTATTCTAGAGGTCCATGGTTCGATTCCCGGCAAAGACGATTGCTCATTTTTCATCTTGTCTGCTTCTAAAAAGTACCTAATGTTACCTAATGTCTCTACAGTTATTCAAATTTGGTATGCTAAATGGGAGACGTTTTCAGCACAGTACCATAGGCATAGCAAAGAAGGACATTGTTTTTTCCTTGGGATTGTCTAACGTCTCGATTCGAAGAAGAAACGGAGTAATTTTGTGGAATCATTCGGTCCGTGTTGTTCTTCACTAGGTTTAAAACACTGCATAGTGAAGTTTTCATTTTTCATTATTTAATTGTTTCTCTTCAGTTTGGATTTTGACTGTTGCGAACAGGAGTTTCTCTATTTTTAATAACTCATTATAATTACTTTCAAGGCTAATCAGTATGGAGTGTTAAGTAGAGAACAAAGAACATTTCCTCCAAATTATTGCCCCTTCTGATTACCATCTTTTCCGGTGTCTCTCTAACACTATTCAGGCACAAGAGTTTCACGATGAAGCTTCTCTTAGAAAATTGGCTAACAGATTTCTTCAACTCGAAACCACAACAGTTCTAGAGAAGAGGCAATGGACTCTTACCTGAACTCTTACTTGAATTCAGTGTCAAAGATAATGATTAGAGTCATTTGCAAAGATAGTGATTAGAGAGTGAATGAATGAGTGATTATTGATTTATAACGTAGCGTATCAATGTCCTTCTATTTTGTATTGCATTCTTTTTTAAAAACGGCAGCCCGATGAAAAACAGCACGGATTATGCATTATAGAAAGGCATAGCTGGAAATCAGTAATTCGGTGAAAACATTCTGCAGATCATTCATTATTTTATAAGAATTAAATATGCAAAAGTTTAGCAATGTAAACGTGTTAGCACAATGTAATGCATACTAAATACTGGTATAGGTATTTATTCCTACTTTTAATTATTGTAAATAATTACCTTATGTTATCTGAAAATATTTGCTACTTAAAATAGTTGTACCTGAAATTATTTCAGATAAAAGAAGTTCTGCTGCCTTAATTATCATTTCGAAAAAAAAGAATATAAGAATGTATTGTATTTTAGATATATATCAGACAGTAAATGTTGTTTCATACCTTTCGATTATTTAAATATATATAATTTATGTTAATTAACTCCTTTTCTTATGATTTGAAACTGTGGTGTCACTTATTTTCGTTAGTTTTATCCAAGGTATAAAAAAGTACTTGTTTGAAATGAAGTTCTTTAAAATTTAGACTTTTAACAGTGACTGATTATAGTATTATTCTTTCGCCCTGCTCTTTATTATCTGGTTTTAAACATTCTGCTAGCAGAAACCAATCGCACATTTAATAAATTTGAGGCAACGTTTAAGCTGTTTGCATTATAGCTTCCGATATCATATTACTTTGAAATTCTAAGTTAGCAGTTCTGTTATCTGGATTTCAGCAATTTGCGGATAACTAAATTGCAAGCACAAGTCATACATTTGTTCAATCGAATAAAGTTTAGAATAAAAAGGTTGTTTAAATATTCTTTGGACTAAGCTGTTATTTAAGCTAGACGAAGCGCTAACTCACCGGCCTGTCTTAGCACCCGAAAGAGAAATCAAAATTACAAAATGTATATTCAAATAACTTTTAATAATATTTAGTTACAAAAATGAAACGTTTTGAAATATTTCTTACCCTATTAATTGATACCTTGATGATTGATTGGCTTTAAGTCGGCCATTAATTAAAATAATTATCTATTATTTAAAGAAGTCAGCCAAAGAAAATTTTAAAAGTAATAAATCCAATCAAAGAAGATAACTGACGCTATAAAATATTTCATCTAACAATAATGACTCAAAAAAGAGTTGAATATTGAATTCTTTCATATTCTGCATTCTGTAAATACACTTCTCAAAAGCGAAATTGCAATACCAAGAAAGAATGCGCGTAGCGTCATGCAAATTGCAAGAACGAGAGTTGTGAGGTGGATATGCAAATCATAAAAGTTGCGCAAGCATTAGACCACGTGGTACGCATATGAGGGCTATAAAGGTCAGCCACTTTCTCTCGGATTTTTTTTCTCATCTTTATGTCATTAGGAACTTAAGAATTGTAGACTGGTAAAAGCCTCAACAGGCCGCATGCCTTTTACACGAATGATGAATGATGATCTGTGATCTTTTCTCTTCTCATAAATAGTTATCATTTTCGACCTCCTATTTATGCTCCAGACTTATCAACGTTATGTGCTGTTAAGCAATAAATGTTTTGAGCAGGAAACGTCGCGCTTCGGCGTGATATCGCGGCAATACTTGTCCAAAACGAACGAACGAATTTCAGCATCTGAGAGTTTACGGAGCATTGGAGACTTTAGAAGAAACATATAAAATGCCTCTGAAACGTCGGCGAGCTCAATACTATCAGTTAACGACCAGGAAACGTAACTGCATTATCCAACTCCATGAGCTTGGTTTGTCGCTGCGCACAATAGCCATCCATGTTGGGCACTATGTGAGAACCATCCAACGTTGTGTCACACGATGGATTCAGGAAGACGTACGTGCACGTCGAAGAGGAAGTGGTACGCACAGGTGCTCGTCACAGCGCACAGACTGGGGTATTCGGCGGTCAACTATTGAAGACCTTTTCTCTACGTCACGTGACATACGAAGCCGGTTGCCTCCAGGAGCAGGTGAATTTGTCCACCCAAACTATTCGCAAAAGATTGCGTGAAGTATAGTTACGTTCACGGATACCAGCCACAGGGGCACCATTGACTGTTGAACACACGCCCATAGACGCCTGGTGTGGTGTTAGCGTCATAGTGCGTGGACCATCGAATGGCATCGGGTTTTGTTCACGGATGAATCTCGTTTCTGTCTGTGGAGGAATGACGGCCGTCGACCGGGCGACCCGGAGAACACTACGAAACAGCCCATTTCGCCGAGCGTCACACCGATCCTGCACCAGGCATTATGGTTTGGGGTGACATAAATAACGTTTGATCACAAGACACCACTGGTACACATTAACGGCAGTTTGACAGCAGACCGCCACATAACGCAAGTTGTGGAGCCTGTTGTTCTGCTCTGGTTGCAAGGCGCACCCAACACGGTATTCCAACAAGACAATGCGAAGCCGCATGTGCACGGCATACTTTTAACAACCTGACCGTATTTGACATCCCATCCTGGGCGGCAGCCTCTCCAAATCTGAATCCCTTCAAACACCTGTGGGATGTCATTGGACGTGACATTACCCGAGGACCACGGCCGCAAACCCTGGATGATCTGCGTACAGCAGCTGATGTAGTTTGGCAATGGCTACCTCAGGCAGCCATCAATGACCTCATTGAGAACATTCTTCGCCGGATTGCGGGCTGTATCGCTGCCCGAGGTGGGCACATTAGATACTGAATAAATTGGTATATTTGTGTCTGTTTTTTTTAATCATTTGCATATCCATCTCACAACTTTCGATCCTGCAATTTGCATGACGCTACGAGCATTCTTTCTTGGTGTTGCAATTTCACTTTTGAGGAGTGTAGATATACATCCAGAGCATTAAATTCTCAGCATTTTTTCAAAAGAATATAAAGTAGAGATAAGAGAAGAAATGAAAGAAAAGTAAAACACGATTGATATTTTTGATATTTTGAGACTAATGAAACATAAAAATATACCTGAAACCTGTAGAACGTTCCGTCTGCCTTTACGGTCAGAATGTGGTCATCTATGGGGAAGAAATAACCATGCGCCGACATCAAGTGACCCAAGTGAAGAGCTTCCGCTTCAAGACAAAAAATATTATTCGTACAACCAAAATGACATTTTTATAAAATAATGAAATAATTTTATGCAGTTTAAAATATTTAATGGCATTAACAGCCTCAGAGGTCATATTGAACTTTCGCAATAAAGACTTTCATGAAATTTACTGAAAGCATACGTTTATTAAACTTTCCGTATTATCAAAAAATTAATTTTGCACCACATCAGCTAGTTTAACATTATTTATAACCTGTTAAATGTTTTAATTCTCAATGCATTTCTCTTTTCAATTGACACAATCACTTTAATGATAGCAATATCACAATGCATCAGAAACGATTTATTTTCTAATATTTATATACTATCGTTGATCAATTTTACAGATATCTGAAAATATCTGAATATCGTATATCCATATATTTCCAAATATTTATCTGTATAAAACTGATTAAATATGAACTAGACAGCTTTATCTTGTACACCACGTCCACTTCTCGTGAACGCAGGATTTTCAGATTCAAATTTTGATTTGAAACTACATACATAGGTGACGCTGAAATTTTTGAGATAGAAGCAAACGATATGCGCTAAAAGCAATTATTTATTACATATATATATAGTTGAAATCTTTTCATGGGCAATTTGGGGTCATCTCAATGTGACTGAACAAAACCAAACTTTTTAATTTTCAAAAGTGATCGTGTACAGAAACATTTTCCTAAAATTTCATAAATAAAATTACCATCTACCACTTTTTTTATTTCTGCGTTTTGGTGAAGATTAAAAAAATTGTTTGGCTTTATTTTTGTTTGCATACTTCGTTATGTTTTTCTTTAGTATTTACAAACAGCTCGTAGGTGTAAGGAAACAACGAACGGCATTCGAAAATTGATCATTTTTCATCATAAGGAGAGAAATTAAATTACGGATGTGACTAAATTAGGAAAATTTTCCCATTTTACGGTGCAGTATGTGATAAAATGCCTTAAAGAAGAAAATCGGATTTAAAATAAAGTAAGAAAAGTTTGTCCGGCAAAAAAGACTTGACGCGACTCAACGTAAATCAAAGCTTTATTGTGAGAAAATCTGTGAAAAATCCAAGTTTGAGTGTTTTAAAGATTTCTGAAGAATTTACAGAAAACTTTTTCTACTTCAATTGCATTACTCAGATCAGCTGGATTACATGGTCGCTGTGCTCGAAGAAATTTTTTTTTCTTACGCTTTTCTTCTCAAAATCAATGGTAAATAAGCCCGAAGCGTATTAGAATCATGACTTATTTGCAGATGAAAGCAAGTTTAACATTTCTGATTACGATGGACTTATAATTATTCGGAGCAAAAAAATGAGGAGTTTAATCCCAATACCTTGGTTGGTATAGTAAAGCATGGCGGTGGAGGTATTCTTGTGTGAGGGTGTATGTCAGCATCAGGATTAAATAATTTAGTATTTATTGATGGCACAATGAACCATGCGCTTTATTTAAATAAAAAGCTAGTTTAATTTATTATTAAAATAAAAAAAACTATTTAAAATTCTTATTTAAATAAGTTTATTTAAATAAAAAAACTATTTAAAAGCTAGTTTAAAACTATCCACCCAAAATCTGGATGCTGGAAACAAATTAATTTTTTTATCAAGATAACGATTCTAAGCACACGGCCCTCAACGTTCGCTTTTTGGGTGTCTATAATTGTCCACAAGTTCTGAAAACATCACCATCTCAGTCACCAGATTAAATTTAACAGAGTATTCTGGAGACAATTAGAGGTTAAAGTACGAAGACACGACATTAAAACAAAAACCGAACTAAAAACAGTAATGATGGAAGAATGGAGGAACATTGATGCAAATATTACCAAAAAAAAAAAAAAAAAAAAAAAAAAAAAAAAAAAAACTGGTGAACTCTACACCCAGACGTTTGAACGTTGTCACAAACCCACTAAAAATACTAACTGACAGAAATAGTACAATATTTAGTAATATATGCAGATTTTTTTAAAGAGTACAAAAACTTTTGTGAAGTAACTTTTCGGTTACTTTTGTACTATTGATTTTTCAAAAAAAAGTTATAGTATGTTCATTAAATAATTAATGCATTTTTGCTAAGAGGAATATATAATATAAATATTATTAAAAAATTTTCATTTTAAAATATTAATTTTTATTAATGAATAAAGCAATATTTCACTGAAACTCATTAAGTGTGCGAATACTTTTGTGAGCTACTGTATATACTTTCTCATCATTTTCATGCGCTACCATTCGCCAAAATTAAAGTACGCAATAATCAGCAGAATGCCTTTTCGCACTTTTATCGTTCAATATATTCAAGTCAAAATTTGCTGTATTCATCCTTGAATATGTCTTTTTTTTAGTCCAAAGGTACTCTGTCCCTGAAAAACTATTGTTTTCGTTTTGCGATTTTGCGCTGATTCACTATAAATGCCCGTTTCACTTTTAAAGCTATTGCCACCAAATGTTACAGTTCTGCATTATATTTGAAGAAATGAAAAATCTGTATAAACGCATTTATATTTCTTGCATTGTGATAAAACAACGGTACATAGAGCCATCGAATTTTGAATGACGTAATCTACTGCTAATATGCGCATGTGGAAGCCCAAATTTGAAATTTGGAATTTGTTTTATTATTGATTTCACATTTTGTAAAACTTTAACGAATTTTTGATAAGCAAACTCGAGGATTTCAAAGCAAACAATGGCAATGCTGTACAGAAAAAAACATTTTTATGTCCAGCGCGCGAGCCTCTGTATCGGAATTCTAAAGATAAGCTCAATTCAAAACTATTTTGCGATATTGCTCTTGAACTTAATTTTATGGTTTAAGTGCGAAGAATGTGATATTTAATAAATAAGGTAAAAGACAAAATGTTAAAAAACGCCCCTTTGGACGTAATTTAAAATCGGAAATCTTTCAGGTTTTTTCTTATAATTCTTTCTTTTGCTTTAAAAAGACTTTTTGAAAATCACAGTCATCTTATACATGTAGCTGAATATTTAAGAATGTATTCAAATATTTTATCTGGTTTTTTAATTTATTTTATTTTATTTTTTTACGAATCCTAATAATATTTACACTCATCGTAAAAGTACAAATAAAAAAATTTTAGTCCAAAGGGACAACTAATTTCGTTTCGGCATTTTGCGCCGATTCACTATAAACGGCGAATCACATTTAAAATTGTTGCCACCAAATAATATCGTCCTGTATTAGTATATTAAAAGAAATTTAAAAAGAAAAATCTACATGAAGGTATGTATGTTTCTCGCATTGTGATAAAACAACGGTGCCTAGAGTTATCAAATTCTGAATAACGTACGTCTCCACCCAGATATGGGCGTCTGGAAGCCCAAACTTGGAATTTGGAATTTAGTTTTAATCTATTTCATATTTTGTAAAGCATTTATGAATTTTCGATTAAGAAACTCAACGATTTCAAAGCGAGCAATGACAACACTGTTCGCTGGAAAAAAAAATTATCTCCAGCGTGTACCGGAAATTCTAAAGATATTCTCTTTTAAATATTTTGTGATATTGCTTTTGAACTGAATTTATGGTTTAAGAGCAAAGAACATGATATTTAATAAACAAAGGTAACACACAAACCGTTAAAATAATGCTCCTTTGGGTGAAATATAAAATATGAAAGCTTTCAACTTTTTTTTTTTTTTTTATTTATTTTTTTTTTTATTTTTAAATTTAATTTTCTGATGTCATTTTTTATAAAGCATAGCAAAATAGATCGAAAGAGCGCATCATTGCAAGCAGTGGATCTTTATGATAACAAAAATGTTAGAATGAGCATATATTCTGTTTTGCGCTTTTGTTGAGCTGAAGATGCAAGACAGATTAACTATTTGGAAAAAAACATTATTAACTGTAAAAAAAACATTATTAACTGTAAAAAAAAACATTATTAACTGAAATTAGATGTATCAAAGACAATATCGCGAAAAATCCATTTCATGGTTAATTTCTGTGATTACAACTGAAAACATAATTCTTCGGAGGTTAGAAATAACTGAAATCTCAATTATGATTTTGTATCCTTTGCTATTGCAAAGACGAACTGCGCTTCACTTCTGAGAAAAAAGTAGTTCTATATTAATAAATAAATTTTCGAAAAACACAAACTTAATATAAAATGAAGTACAGAGGAAGTTTACACATTTTTAGAACGATTTCGGGCCTTTTTGTTAATGTTTAAGATGCAAAAAGAATTTTTTTTTAATGCTCGATCTATAAGTCAAAACTTATAGCCGTTTTATCTATAAATCTGCATCATGGCTTTTCATAGATAGCCATTTTTTTTGATAGAAGGGCTTATTTTAAAATTTTTAGGGGAACTAATTTTCATTCCTCTTCCACCACTTTTAAGAGAGTCCATAAATCTTGGTGTGCTACTGCTTAGAAAGAGCTCTTTTTTAGAGACCAGAGGCAACACAGTCCATAGATGAAACGTCAAAGGACTTAAAGGAATACTTTGAAAAGGTTTATATGCGATACTTGTGTCAGTTTTCATTCTTGTCATGGAATGCAGTGGTACGTTTCGAAATATGACTTGATTTTTGTCTTGATGCAGTTTCACTCTTTAAAAGTCACTGGAATAAAGAAATGGAATTTCTTCTGTAAACATCGAAAGTAAAACATTCTGTTGATAGTATGCTAAGTTGATTTTAACAGTTTTTTCACTCATCTTGTTTTTAATTTCCCATTATAAGAGAATCCTGTGACAATCGCAAATCCGTTGCTGAAACTTTGTTTGCATTGGCGGAACCAGGTATGTACATATTTTTCTCTTCGTTTTCAATAATAAATAGACCTTTCTCTGTTGCAGGCGTTTATGTAAAACCGTGCTTTATCAAGAGCTATGATGCGTTTGCATTTACCTCCTAAATAGGTTTAATACACTGTTCGACAAATTGTTCTGCATTGAGTCACATGCCTGGGTAAAAGTTAGAGAACATGGTGTTTTTTAACTACTTTTGAATTGTAAATCTTAGTTTATTTTTTTATTTATTGTTTCTAAAGACTTATTTAAAGACTTTATTTCTGCGTTGGCAGATTTTCTCTTATTTCCAACTACTTAACTTTAGAAACATTAGAAACAGTATTTATCTTTTCCGGTATTCGCTTGAAATCTTCTTTCCAGGCGGAAGTAATGATTGACGGCCTTTCCCTTTTATATTAAAAATGTTGCTATATTTGCACTTAGAAATTTTACACCATAACACCATGCATTTCAAAACAGTTTTATACTTCTAGGATGCCTTTGTGGTGTGGTGGTCTGTACACTGGGCCGGTATTCCAGAGGTCCGTGGTTCGATTCCCGGCGAAGGCCTTGCTCATTTTTCACATTGCTTGCTTCTAAAAAATACCTAATGTCTCTACAGTGGCGCTCGAACTAAAAGGGTGGCGGATGATGATTCTCCCCACCCAGGATTTCGGCGATTGGGTCCCCTAAAAAACCCCAGTCGCCCTTTAAAAGGGGGAGTATATAAGGTATTTCTCCGGTCTTCCTAGCATGCCTTCGTAGTGTGGTGTGCACGCTGGCCCGGTATTCCAGAGGCCCGTGGTTCGATTTCGGGCGAAGGCGTTGCTTCTTTTTGATCCTGCCTGCTTCCAAAAAATACCTAATGTCTCTAAGAAGAATAAATTTAAAACGATATTTCTCATTTTAAATAATAAACTGTTGCAGTAACTTTTTATTTCAATGCATTTGCTTTTTAAAATTCTTTATCGAATTCGTTCTAAAAATATATAAACTATCTCTCTCTCTAGATTTCTGGCATTGGGGTTTAATTAATCTGATATTCCTACAATACGAGCTATCCGCATAACTGTAGATTATATAGGTTACGACACTCTAGCCAGATGTAAGAAAATATAATAGATAAATACTTCCAGATATAAGAATAAAAGTCTAGCTAGATAAAAGAAATGTATGGTCTCAGGAACATGTCACAATAAAATTATTAAAATATGTTACGCGCGTACGAGTTCTTAATGAATTGCATGCACACAGAACAGATGGTAACTTGATGAAACTCATTTTTTCAAAACGCTTTACAATTATGGAACATTTCAAAGTTCTCGTACACAAAAGTTCTCGTACAGTTTTTCTCAATATGACAGAGCGCAATCTGTAGTTACTACTTCAAACTACTGAGAATGGCGAACGCAAAGCTATACAAAAAGCTTCAAATGCGTAAACTCGCATAATGAACTCGCAATACTCTAAGCTAAATTCTAAAATCAGTTCTGAGCTAAAAACTGATGCTTTCTTAGAAGCAATTATAAGCTTCGTGGGTGAAACTAATAGCGAATTCCGATGTTTTTTTTAGCTACAACTGCATTATTCGCCAACAAGTATTAGACAGTCATTAAATTTTTTTAGTAAAGTATGGCCTACTTTGATGTAGTAGTCACTACATATATTTTAATGGGGGCTTTTTAAAAATATTTTGTTCTGCTGTTAACTGAGTCTTGAGATTCCTAATTCTATTTTTTTCTGAAGTCACTATTTTGTGAGTACTCACTCCTTTGGCTATGATCGTCCAAAAATCCTTTCGCGATCAACTTGTTGCCCGTTCCTGTTCTATATGCTTAAATTATAAATAAGGTTACTCACTGAAATATGCGGTTGTTCTGTTTCAGCTTATTCAGCTATTTCAGCTTATTAAAGATGCGACGTGGAAAGCGATTAGAACATATGAGACGTAACTAAGATATTGTACAAACTGCAAAGAGGTATTTACCGAATGATTTATTAATAGAGCACGCATTATCTTACCATATTTAATGTAATCAAAATGTTATCTAAATTATTTCTTTTATTTCAATAATCTTTTAAACAACGACACTATAAATTTCGTTTTTAATTGCTTGCAGTTTTAATATGCGAATTAAGCGCCAGATACGTTTAAATACAATCTGAATATTAACTAAAGAATGAATGACTGGCATTAATATGCATTCTTCTCACAATTCCTTAAAAGCTATTTTAAATTTAAGTTTGCAATTTCGTAAGCAGATATTTTCAAGTACGCATTGATAAAACGAATCAAGAATAGAATTTAATTTTTCCTTCCTACTTGTTTAAAGAAATCGAGTTGAGGATTCCTTGTAATGGAGTTACTTAATTCTTGAATACTTATTTTCAGGAAGGCAGCAGCAGATTATCTGTTTCTTACTCTTAAATACTATATGGGTTGCATAAGTTACCCTCCCACTCAACCGTAAGTGGAGGATACGCAAAGAAAGTCTCGGCTACTTTTCTGAAAATAGCTTTAAAAAATCGAAATTCTTTAACTTTATCGTGTGTTCTCCTTCTTTAAAATTTATTTTATACTCAGCTAAAACTATTATTTATTCTTCCCTAACAAGTGCCTATTCATCTACCGCCCTCCCACTTAGCAATCTCACATCCTTTTCCGAAAATATTTCTCGGGAAAAATAATGAAAGAAAAGGAACTTACTTTGGTCTTCGACATCGAGGTTTTTGAGCATCCAAGCAATCAAGTCAGAGCCTATAAAGAAGAAAATTATTATATAGGCGTTATAGTACTTGGAATTTCGAAATTATCATGATAAAAATTTCTCTAGATTAATGGTATATGATGTAACGATACTAAAAGTAGTCTTATTAGAAAAAATGCGAATAATAGAACGATTTAGTCTGCTGTTGCGGTTTTCCATTACTTGAATATCTCATCAAAACTGATTGTTGCATATTGTTACCGAAACTCTGTATTGCTCTTCAGCCACTGACTGAAGATTTTGATTTTCATTAAATACTTACTTTGTGTTTTATTTCTAAGCATTGAAAAATAAGAGGAAAAAGTAAACGTTCAGCGATTTCGTCCGATAGGCAGCCAAGAAATTTTGACAGGATAACGAAAATGGTTTTATTCTATCATTTGATTATAAGAAAAAAAGTATAACAAATTCTTTTGTACGGATTATAGATAACAAGAGACGGAAGTATATGCGCATCAGCGGGTTTTTGTTTATGGCGGTATAACAAAAGCAATCAGGAAACAAGGAACCGCGAAACCTCAAAGCTTGTTCTCGTTTCTCGTTACTTGGATAGCAGAAACAAATAGGTTAGCGAAATTTCGAGATCATGGTCAGTGGAGAGAAATATCGTTAGCTGAAAGAGAACAATTCATCAAGAAATATCTTCAGAGACATTTCTTTAGGGAATGTTCACGAGGATCACAATACTAAATTGCGATTCTTTATGGCTGAACTAATGGCTGCTGTCTGTGAATGCTTTGCTTTTACAAAAGCATTAAAGAATGATTTAACCAACCTAAATATAATCCCAGTGTAATGATTTAGATATCACAGGTCACTAAAAAGATTTTCAAGGCTAGTCGCTTAATCATTCCCTTAATTAAATCACCAGCTTCTACTAGTTACATCTTTTGAGAACTTCGCTTCTTTTTAAATGATGTACACGTACACTTTTTATGTTAGTGATCATTCTCAAACAGAAAACAAATAAATGTTCTTTTCAGCAAGCAATTTCTACAAACAAAAGTGTTGTTGTTTGTTTCCGTATTGTAAGAAATAAGAAATGAATTAGATAAAAATCAGATAAGTGTTGATTTGCTTTTTTGCTTATTCGACAACTTCAAAGCATGTAAGAAACTCTGTACCGAAAGGAAGAGATATGCTGTGGACTCTGAGGAAGGACTCCTTTGAGAACTCTCTAAAGCAGTGATTCTCAACCGGTGGTATGTGTACCACTGGTGGTACGCCAGCGAATAATAGGTGTTACGCAAATAAACAAAGTATTTTTAACTATTAAATTCAACCCCAACATCCTGTTTCAGATTTATCTCTAACACTCGTGAATTAATACGATCAAGGTCAAAGTCAACAGTCGCTCATGGACTTTAGCCAAATAATCCGTTTTTATTTTCACAAACATTAAAGCCCTAGACGTAACAAAATTTGTCATAAATGATGTTTTTAAGGTCGTATAGAAATAGATGCTGTATTTAATAGGAAATAAAATTAAGTTCCTATAAAAAGATTTCATTAATTCTTTTAGAGTAAATCGATTTATTGGCATATCTACCCTTTATGACTCCACCATTTCAAGGCTCGTATTGTTCTATTTTCAATTCGAATAATTCTTTTACGTCGATTTGAAGTCTCTAACAGGAGGAATTTTTTCTTTTGTTGCTTTGTATTTCTCACTTTTCCAGGCGATTTGAGAGTATCGTCGTTCGTTTTTGAAGAACACGTAATATATTGTGCATTTAAATATTCGAGGAAAATAATAAAACAAACCTAGACTTTCAAAAGGGAAAAACGGTTAGGATTGACTAAGCGGAAAACGGGTGATTGACAGGTGATGGATCTAGGACAAGCTACTATCATTTGGGTTTATTTGGAATGGAGATGAAATGGATCCTTAACCTCAAGGTGTTGTTTGCTGTGAAATATTACCCAACCAAAGTATGAAACCATCGTTTCTTAGAAGGCATCTTGAATCTAAGCATGCCAATTTAAAGGATAAATCTGAAGGCTATTTTAAGAGGAAATTATTGGAGTTCAAAACCAGTAAGCGAGAAATGAAGGGCTTTATTACTTCAATTGAAAAAGCTTTGAAATCTAGTTACCTAGTAAGCCTAAGAATTAAGAAGACTGGGCAGGCTCACACTTTTCGAGAAAACCTTATTTTATCAGCAGCTAAAGATACCGTTTTAACATTAATCAACGAAAAAGGCTAATGAACTTAATAATATTCCGCTATCAAATGATACAGCAAATCGACGAATTCATGAAATGGCAAATTCCATAAAAGAGTCACTTATTTAAAAAAGAAAACACAATGAGTATTTCACATTGCAATTGGATGAAAGTACTTATACAACGGACTTTGTTCAATTATTAGCTTACCTACGTTTCGAAGAAGATAAACGAATTGCCGAAGAGCATTTATTTTATGAATCTCATCATGACAGAGCAACTGCAAATGAAATTTTCAAAATAATTGACAATTTAAGTATGAGACTGATATTCCTTGGAATAAGTGCATTGCCATATTCAATGACGGAGCTCGAGCTTCAACAGGAAAACATTACGGTGTTATTTCTCAAATAAAGAAAGTCGCACCTGAAACTAAATTTACTCACTGCTCCATTCATCGTGAAGCTTTAGTAGCCAAAACAGTCTGCGGAAACCTGAAAATCATTTTGAGTCAAGTTGCGAAAACTGTTAATTTTATTTAAAGTCGAGCTTTAAATTCAAGAATATTTACGATTTTATACCAAGAGATGGGCAGTGAACATGAAACGCTTTTGTTACATTCGGAAGTAGGGTGGTTATCCATAGGCAAAGTTTTAAATCGTCTTTTTGAACTTCGATCAGAAACTCAAATTTTCATCTGTGATTCAAAATTTGAATTTCGAAATTGTTTATTTAGGGAATTATAATGGATTCTAATTTATGTTTAAAACGAAGTGAAATAAGAACAGACCAACATAAAGAAACTGATATCTCATAAACAGGCTCAAATTTCACCACACTAAATTTTGGAATTAAAGTACTATAGCATGAATTTCGATAATTAAAATAGTAACCAATTTTTTAATTTAATATTTTGATGTGTGCATATTTAATACAAATACGTTGTGCAGATGGCACTATATATATTCTTTTAATATTTCTATCGAGAAATCGAGAAATCATTGTAAAATATAGTGGTGGTACTTAAGTGTTTCAATTTTTGTTTAGATGGTACGTGTTAGTCAAAAGGTTGAGAACCGCTGCTCGAAAGGATAGTGGCTTGTTTTATATGACACATGTAGAAAACACAAAAACACTCATGAAGTGAAATAGCTTTCCGGCATTAAAATTCGAGTTCAGTTAATGGTGTTCAACAGTCATCAATCGACCACTAAAGGTTATTATAGTTATAAGAACCTGTTAAAAGAAAAAAAAAGCTTTAAATTTTGATTAACCACCCCGGTATTCGTTCGATTTAAAAAGAAGACATATTCATTCAGGTATACTTCTTCAGAGGGTTGTTCGTGCTTTGTGGAAAGGGTTTGATAATTATTTTTTACGCATAAAAGGTGTATTTCTTGAGCGATTTACTTTTGTCTGATAGTTTTGATTCATGGTTATAGCTCCTAGCTTGAATTATTTTCCATGAACGTAAACTAGCATCGTCATATCAATTTCAGAACACTACTTATATGTCGTTTTAAAAAATCCAGTTAATGGTTTTGAATGCCGAAAGTTCTTATTAACAAGAAACGAAAGCGCAAAGAAAGTCCGTAGGAGAAGCGGCGGGTAATGTTTCGCACATTTTATTAAATGGGATACATTTCTTTCCTGTTTCTTATTCTTGTTTTGCTGAATAAGCGTCAACTGACGTATACATGTGACTAGAAACGTTTTCTACCACATAAAGAACAACTTTATTGATGTACTTTACGTATAAATCTTAAATTTCTTCTTCAAAATTGGTTCTAAAATATTTTACTGATAGTGTAGTGTAAGAAATTAATTTTAGGTCTTAATTGAGTTGTTTCCCTCTCTCTCTTCTTTTTCTTGTTTATGAGTTTTAATTTACCCTTGTAAAAAAATCCTGCAACCATAATGATTCTTATTGGAAACTTTTCTGTATACTGATGAAGCTGTTTCGCACGGTCATTTGTGTAAGCTGAGCAAGAGAAGATTGATCTTTTTCATTTCAGTCACTAAAGTACACCATTATGAAGTGTTACCACAAATTTCTATTTATCAGCAGCTAGATACTTTTCCTATAATTTTCTATAGTTTATTTTTCTTTCCGCAATGCACTTTAGCAAAACAGAAGAATTTTAGATTTAAACATTTTTTTTAAAGTTCAGATCTTTCAACAATTTTACTTACAGTGTTAGAAGGTATTCCCAGTTCCGATGCAATGCATCTCTGAGTGGGCGGATTTTCTTTTCTGGATCAGATACTTCACTTTCTTTATATTTACTCGCATTCAAGAACATAGTTTTGCCCCCATTTTTCATTTTAACTTTCAGCTAAGCATTGTTTCCCTTTCCAGTTTATTGAAAATACCTTTCTTTGAAATGCAATAACCTCGACTTTTACACAAGTTTACAATTTATATACATATATATAAAATTGTTTCTATTCTATAATTGATCTCTTTATATATATATAAATTATGGCCCCCCCCTTTCCCTCTATTGAATTTTAGGAACCATTTCTAAAATAAATATCTTATTCTGCATTTCATTAAAAAAAAAGAGTAGCAGATAATTATATTGAAAATGCGAAATCTTTATCTCAGAATGCTAAAGAGAAAATTTAGATGCAAAATTCTTTGTATAAAATGTGTATTATATTCCATACACTTCCTATACACAATACTACACCCAATACAACTAATACTTTCTATACGCAATATAACGTATATTATTTTCTATAAAATGTGTATATGTATATTTTTATAAAAGTACACAAAAGAACGATCTTTTGTGTTGCTTCTAAGAAAATATAAAATGTT